AAAAAAAAAAAAAAAAAAAAAAAAAAATTAATATATAGAAAGATGCACTGAAATAAATTCTATTTTAAAAATAAAAGTAATACTCAAGCTCATCCCTTCCTAATTATGTTATTATATTTTACTATTATCTATGTTCTTTGGGTTGTTTATGTGTATTGGTGGAAATACTACATAATGGAGGACTTCCAGTCCTGCCAAGGTGCAATAGCCCCATTCCTCCCAGATCCTCCCTCTTACAACTAAAAAACCCTAGACACTGCACAATAAACAAGCATAGGATGACTCTGAAAAGTACAAAAAAGAAGGCAGACCACCTGGGGGAACTCAGAATTTGAGGAATGCCATGCCAGCAAATTCTCTGGGTTTCTTTATTGCCTCCCATGTACATATGCTGGACAAGATGCTACAGAATCTTCCAACCCAGAATCTCCAGCAGACACAGACAAAAAGTACTCCAAGAGAAGCCTGTTCTCCTTAGCTGAAGGATGCAAAAGGGTCTGAAGTTGCTGGGCAAACAACAGACTGCCTTTGGGAGTGTGGGCAGGGAAGCAGACCATCAGAACTGGCAGTGTGGATGTGCAGCAGGATGCCCAGCATCAGTTGGGACAGGAGGCTTTCAGAGCGCATGGGCTGCCAGGGGGCTTGCAGAGACGTGGGCTCAGCTAAAATCTAGCCTCAGAGTGGGGAGCTCTGGAGTATAAGCGGCACCACAGAGTTGTCCCACTCTGTCAGTCAGTATCTGTGGGCATTCCCAGGGAGAAAGCATAACCTCAGGCATTTCCTGGGAAGGTCGCTCCCATTGGGCAAGGACAATTCCAAGGAGCTTTGCTGTGAGTTGATACCAGTCAACGTTGATAGCAGCTAGGAGATGAGTGTAGAGGCCTGGTAAAGGGATCAGGGTGGGGTATCAACAGCAACTGCTACAGCAGCTGACTACAGAAATCAGGAGAAGAAAATAACAAATTAAACAAAAGGAAAGGAGAAAAAATAAATTATTAAAAGAAAAGCAGAAAAGTAATCAGTTAGAAATCCGAAAGCTGGCTCTTTGAAAACAACCACCATACGGGTTTTTGTTAAACATTGTACTGGGGGAGTCAGCCAATGCAATTAGACAAGAGAACAAAATTTAGAGAAATCGAAATTGGAAAGAAATGGGTAAAACTCTCACTATTTATCGATGATGCATGTGTTAGGTTGATTGTATTGATGGCCCCTCTGCTTGACCTCTCCTTGATCCCTGTCCTTTGACACTGAAGTTCTCATAAAGAGGCAGAGTCTGCTTCCCCAACCCTTGAGTCTGAGCTTGGCCATGTGACTTGCTTTGGCCATTAAGATATTGGTATCTTTGAGAGACGCAAAGGCTCGAAAAAGTATTTGTGCATTTTCTTGCTCTCTTACTCCTCTGAAATCCCCCCTGAGAAGATGCTTGAGATAATCTAAGAACATGCCTGGACTAGCCTATGGGGTGGGGTGGGGTGTATAAAGTAAGAGACAAGTACGAAGAGCTCAGCTGTATCAGCCAAAGCCATCACAGACCAGCCTACCTCCAGGCAACCCCTAAACATGTGGAAGAAGCCAGTCAAGATCAGAAGAGCTGCCTATTCAACCTACAGCTGACTACAGATTCATGAATGAGCCCAGACAAGACTAGAAGGACCCCCCCCAGCCACCCACAAACTCATGGTCCATAATATTGATCAATTATTGTTTTGAACTGCTAAGTTTTGCATTATAGGTAACTGATACAATAGTCCTATATACCTGGAAGCCCGCAAGACAACTAAAATTACTACAAACAATAAGAGTTGGCAGGATACACAATTAATAGAAGTTAATGGCTTTCATATAGATACATAAACAATCAGTTAGAAAGTACATGAAAGAAAAGATCCCAGTTGCAA